GGAACACAAGTGAGCACACGAGGGCGTGCAGGCGGCTACGGAGCTCGGACATGCAGAGTCAAGGGGCGGACATGCACCGACGGAGGCGAGCCGACGTACGTACGGAGGCGGGGCGCGTCGCGAATCCGTGCGCCTCAGTGCGTGCCTGCGCCTCCTCGCTGCATGGCGACCTGCGTCCCCAGAGCCCTTCCTTCTCGGGGATGTGCCGGCCCGGCCAGCGCAAACCCAGGCCAGTCAGGATCCTGCAGGGTCCTGCAAACTCCTGCAGGATCTGGCACGCTAGCCCAGGTCAGTGCACCCCTTGCTCTGCAGGATCCTGCAATACAAGCTTCCCAGATGGGGTCAGAGTCATTGGGGTCGGAAGATCGCGCGGCAACGCCGATACATTGGCGATGCATCGGCGATGCATCAGTGATATGCACCAGCGATGCATCGTCGACGTCGGCGATGCATCGGCGACGTCGACGAGAAGCACATCGAGCCCCGCATCGAGCCGCATCGGCGATGCTTCGGCGATGCGGCGCAATCCTCCGACCCCGTCTACTCCGACCCCATCGAGGAGGCCTAGATGCAAGATCGCGCGCTCTGGCTGCCCCCCGTTTGCATTGACCCCCATCCCTTTCGGCTACACGCAAGAGTAAGGCTGGGTAAGAGTGACCTTTGGTGCGCGGCTTTTTTGGGCCGCGGGGGGACCAAACACAAGCGTGCCAAACGCCACTATCGCATCGCGTTGGGCCCACACCAAAGGTCACTCTGGCGAAGGGTCACCCTTACGTGTGGTCGAACCCCTGGCTCTGCAGGATCCTGCAAGGTCCAGCGCTCTGGCTGACCTCCGTTTGCATGGACCCTGATGATGATGATAGGTGGTGATGATGAAGATGATGGGTGCACTTTTCTTGCTGAAGCGGTGATGTTTCGTGACACGGGTATCATCCTCATCATCATCATCATCATCATCATCATCATCATCATCATGATCATCATCATCATCATCATCATCTTCATCATCATCATCACCATCATCATCATCATCACCACCATCACCATCATCATCATCATCATCATCGTCATCGCCATCATGGTCATCGTCATCGTCATCATCATCATCATCATCATCCTCGTCATCATCGACATCATCGACATCATCATCATCATCATCATCATCATCATCATCATCATCATCATCATCCGCATCATCATCCTCATCATCATCCTCATCCACATCATCATCCTCATCCTCATCATCCTTCTCCTCCTCCTCATCATCGTCATCATCATCATCATCATCGTCACCATCATCATCTTCGTCATCATCATCATCATCGTCATCGTCATCGTCATCATCATCATCATCCTCGTCATCATCATCATCCTCATCCGCATCATCATCCTCATCCACATCATCATCATCATCCTCATCCGCATCATCATCCTTATCGTCATCACAATCGTCATCGTCATCATCGTCATCATCATCATCCTCGTCATCATCGTCATCATCATCACCCATCATCGTCATCACCACCATCGTCATCATCATCATCATCATCCTCATCCTCATCCCCATCCTCATCATCGTCATCGTCATCGTCATCGTGATCGTGATCGTGATCGTGATCGTGATCGTGATCGTCACCATCATCATCATCCGCATCATCATCCTCATCATCATCCTCATCATCGTCCTCATCCTCAGCATCATCATCGTCATCATCGTCATCATCATCATCATCGTCACCATCATCATCTTCGTCATCATCATCATCGTCATCGTCATCGTCATAATCATCATCCTCGTCATCATCATCGACATCATCATCATCATCCTCATCCGCATCATCATCCTCATCCTCATCCTCATCCTCATCCTCATCATTCTCATCGTCATCATCGTCATCATCGTCATCATCGTCATCATCATCATCATCATCGTCATCATCATCATAATCACCATCATCATCCTCCTCATCCTCATCCTTATCCTCATCCTCATCCTCCTCATCATCATCAACGTCATCGTCATCATCATCGTCATCGTCATCGTCATCGTGATCGTGATCGTGATCGTGATCGTCACCATCATCGTCATCGTCATCGTCATCCTCATCACCATCCTCATCCTCATGCTAATCCTCATCATCATCATCGTGATCATCGTCATCATCATCATCATCGTCGTCATCATCAGCATCTTCGTCATCATCATCATCGTCATCGTCATCGTCATCGTCATCATCATCATCATCCTCGTCATCATCATCGACATCATCATCATCATCGTCATCGTCAACGTCATCGTCCTCATCCTCATCCTGATCCTCACCATCATCATCATCGTCATCATCATCGTCATCCCCATCCTCATCCTCAGCATCATCATCGTCATCATCGTCATCATTATCACCCATCATCTTCATCATCATCATCGTCAGTATCCTCATCATCGTCATCGTCATCATCATCATCATCCTCGTCCTCATCATCATCATCGTCATCGTCA